AAGAGCAGTTCAGGATATGTCAACAGATGCTTCCTCTGTATAGAATGAATTGGTGTGGAAGGATTGGACACGACGTTGGTACGAAATGATAGGGGGGTTAGTCCTTCTGCGTCCACCTTGTCAGCAAACCTTAGACTCGAAGCCGCCCAAAAACTGGAGATTGAGAGCTTCACGACACCACACGAGTCCCAAGCGCTTTCATCATCAAGTGTTGTCAGCGTCATCCAAAAGGGGGAGACAGTGCTCAGCAGACTTCGAGCATTAATCAGAGCACGCGATCGATCCGTCGTTCAGTCACATGTGAAAGCGGGGGACAAACGTGAGAGCGGGGAAATATTTTCCTCAAGCATCTCGTCGGCCTCCTCCGTTACCGGGTTTGCCATTGCAGTTTGCATCGAGTAAACAGATTGGCACGTCGAGAAAATTTAAGCTGCGCACTTCCCTCGAGGTTACCCGTATATCTCCTGTTGTCCTTGTACTCCAGGGCACGGCACAGCAATCTTACTCCCCCACACCTCTTTTGTCTTCCCAGACCCTGACTGAACACACCCGTACCACGGCTCGAAAGCCAAGTACTGTATAGGCAGACTCCAGTATCATGGAAGTCAACATCCAACCGCACGCCCTTGTCGAGAATGTCGTCGACCGAGCCCTGCCCTCGAGCACATCATCGACGTCCAACGTCACAGTGACACCCATCCCCGCGTCCTTGATAGACACGACGTTCTCATCGTCCACAAACATCACCACGACCGTGCTCGGCGCGTCTATCCTCTCCTTCTCGGACGAATACTTTGCCTCGGCCTCGAACCTGCTCACGCCTACGCCTCCGATCCGCAAGCCCGGAGTCTTCGTACACACGGGAGCGTGGTACGATGGCTGGGAAACGCGACGGCATAACCCGAACGAGTACGACTGGGTGGTGATCAAGCTAGGCTGCGTGGCCAGGATAGATGCTGTCGAAGTGGACACGGCTTACTTTAACGGCAACGAAGCACCGCTGGCAGGGCTGGACGGGTGCTCGTTGACCAAAGAGGAGGAGGAGAAAGGCAGTGGTGTCGAGAAGGAGGATTTCAAGGGTTGGGCCGAGATCCTGCCGCCCAGTCAATGTGGTCCGTCGCAACGGCAGGCTTGGAAGGTGTCTGGTCCGGCCGTGCAAGGGAAGGAGTTCACACATCTCCGGCTGAAACAGTACCCCGACGGCGGGATTGCGCGGTTGCGCGTTTATGGCACCGTGGTGCCCCCGTCGTTACCCGCCAGTGTGACATCCGGCAAAGAGGAGAGGCCACAGGAAGACCTGGCCGCGGCGCTGAATGGCGGGGTTGCCATTGCATGCTCGGACCAGCATTTTGGGGGGAAGCATTACTTGGTCTTGCCTGGACGAGGGAAGGATATGGGTGATGGCTGGGAGACCGCGAGAAGCAGAGTCAAGGGTCACACCGACTGGGCTATCATCAAGCTAGGGTTGAAGGGACGGAAGATTGAGAAGGTGGTCGTCGATACTAAGGACTTTCGAGGCAACTTTCCCCGGGCTGTCAAAGTCGAGGCGTGGGCGACCGAGGTTGCAAAGGCGGCTCTGGGCACAGAAGCTGACCCTGAAGCTGACGACGAAGGATGGACGGAGCTGGTCAAGGGCGAGCAGCCTTGTCAGGCGGACTACGAGCATGAGTTCGAGGGCGAGCAGCTGGTCGTGTCCGAGCCGCCCGAAGGCCATGTTTGGACACATGTCAAGATGACCATCATTCCGGATGGCGGTGTCAAGAGGCTGCGGATATTTGGACGAAGAGCATAGCGAGCGGCGACGGCGACGGCGACGGCGAGGCTGACCCGAAACCTATATAGAGTGTGTGACTACTCCGTATGCCTCCCGGCCATAAGGAAAGCATTTCCCGCTCCTGGTGTCTTCGGTCGAGCCAGTGGCGGATTGACAACAGAATCAACGTGGTTGGTGCGTGGCCGACGCTCTGGATTCGTCGCGCGGCTGCCAAGAGCGACATCGGCCCCGCCCACTGAGACATGATTGGCCTGCCCTCTTTCTCCGCAAAATCAACGGCAAAAATGGCAGATTGAGGTCGCTGCCGCATGCCACTCCCACTTCCGGACCTCCAAGCACTCACACTCGCCTGACTCATAATTCTTGCGCTTCTTATTTCTGACCAGACGTGCGCTATTGCATTTGCTCTTCCCCGTTGACCCTGCCAGGCACCATGGCGACCAAGATGACGGCCATACGGCCTGGCTCCAGCGCCATGCGCTCAATATCCCGACGGAGACCTTCTTGCTCACAGCCGTTTTCCTCCACCACGCCAGCAGCAGCTCTCTCACCCTACCGAAAATCATCGAAACCCTCACCCGAGCACTCGAAAAGACCGGCGACGACCGCGGCGGCTCAAGCACAGTATGTCGTAGAGTGTTGGACTACTATGTGTCATATGCACTGACCGTGAGCAGAAGCAGCCGACCCATTCCCAGTCCCGCCTTCAATCACGACTTCCGCCGACATGAACCCTCCCCTCTCGTCAACCGGCAAGCGCCTGAGCTCGATGACTCCTTTGTCGGTCTCAGTGGCGGAGAAATCTTCCACGAAATGATGCTGCGGCAAGGTGTCAAACATATCTTTGGCTACCCCGGCGGTGCCATCCTCCCAGTTTTCGACGCCATCTACAATTCGAAACACTTTGAATTCATCCTTCCCAAACATGAACAGGGCGCGGGCCACATGGCAGAGGGTTATGCTCGAGCTTCGGGCAAACCCGGAGTTGTCCTTGTGACTTCGGGCCCGGGTGCCACCAATGTTATAACACCTATGCAAGATGCCTTTTCAGACGGCACACCCATGGTGGTGTTCTGTGGCCAGGTGGTAACGAGTGCCATTGGCACCGACGCTTTCCAAGAAGCCGATGTCGTCGGCATATCAAGACCCTGCACGAAATGGAACGTCTTGGTCAAGAACGTGGCCGAACTGCCCATGAGGATAAAAGAGGCCTTCGAGATCGCAACCTCGGGACGTCCTGGTCCCGTCCTTGTCGACCTGCCCAAGGATGTGACGGCCGGCATTCTGCGGAGACCAATTCCTACACAATCGACCCTGCCCGCTCATCCCTCGGCCGCCACGTTGGCAGCAAGAGATCTGTCGAAAAAGCAGTTGGACCGCAGTATCGCCCGCGTGGCTCAACTCATTGACATCGCGAAGAAACCGATCATCTATGCTGGTCAGGGTATTCTGGGCTCCCCTGATGGCCCCAAGCTTCTGAAAGAACTGGCCGACAAGGCCAACATACCGGTAACCACGACCCTGCAAGGTCTCGGCGGGTTTGACGAGCTGGACCCCAAGGCCTTACACATGCTCGGTATGCACGGATCTGCTTATGCCAACATGGCTATGCAAGAAGCAGATCTCATTATCGCCCTAGGCGCGCGGTTCGACGACCGTGTGACGCTCAGCATCAGCAAGTTTGCACCGCAGGCCAAGGCCGCCGCCGCCGAGAAGCGCGGAGGCATAGTGCACTTTGAAATCATGCCCAAGAACATCAACAAGGTGGTTCAAGCGACCGAGGCAGTCGTGGGCGACGTGACCGCCAACCTGGCGGAACTGGTCCCGAAGGTCAAGGCCGTGAAGGAGCGACCCGAATGGTTCGCCCAGATCAACGACTGGAAGGCCCGATTCCCCTTGAGCAGCTACGAGAAAGAAACGCCCGACGGCCTGATCAAGCCGCAACAGTTGATTGAAAAGCTGTCCAACATGACGGCCCACAAGAAGGACAAGACCATCATCGCGACGGGCGTGGGTCAACATCAGATGTGGACGGCGCAGCATTTCCGGTGGCGACACCCCCGAACGATGATCACCTCGGGAGGTCTCGGCACCATGGGCTACGGCTTACCCGCGGCGATTGGCGCAAAGGTTGCGCAGCCGGACGCCCTCGTCGTGGACATTGACGGCGACGCCTCGTTCAATATGACGCTCACGGAACTGAGCACGGCGAACCAGTTCCAGATCGGCGTCAAGGTCATCGTGCTCAACAACGAGGAACAAGGCATGGTCACGCAATGGCAGTCGCTGTTCTACGAGGACCGGTTCGCCCACACGCACCAGAAGAACCCGGACTTTGTCAAGCTTGCCGAGGCCATGGGCGTGCAGGCGCGCAGATGTCTCAAGCCCGCCGACGTAGAGGCCAGTCTGAGATGGTTGATCGAAGAGTCCGGCGACGGGCCGGCTCTCCTCGAAGTCGTCACCGACAAGAAGGTGCCCGTCCTGCCTATGGTACCGGCCGGGAAGGGCCTCCACGAGTTTTTGGTCTACGATGAAGGTATGTTCCCGCAAAACCAAGCAAGCATGCATTTCATATCCCAGGTGCTCTTTTCGGATTCGCTTTCGGATGCGCCTTCCCTTTTGTTTTTCGCAATCTATCTATCTCCCGCTGAAGTACTTGGAATCTCTACTGACTTTTTCTTCTTTTTCGTCCCCCACAGCAAAGGAAAAGGAGCGGAGAGCCGTCATGAAGCAGCGGTCGGGCCATTGAGCATTGAGCGCGCGATGTATATGATGCGGTACCTTCGCCTGGGCCGCTCATTTTCTTTTCCCTCCCTTCCCTCTGTCCCTGCCAGGCAGGCAGGCAGGCAGGCAGGCATGCATGGTCACCAATCTGTATAGGCGAGCATACGCATTCCCTTCTTTTTTTTCCCCGTGATTTCGAGCGTAGGCACCGAAACCAGCTCTCATTCATTACCCTCTTGAGCAGGTGTCTGCAGTCGGGGACGAGACCAGAAGAGGCGAGACGAGACGATGGTTTTATCATCAAAAAGCAAAGCTGGCCGGCCCGTGGCTTACAGTGTGGATGCACGGGGGAGCCGTGTAGTGTTTTTTAAAAAAAAAGTAAATCCTCTGGACAGGCGGTGTGCAAAAAGCTTGGAGTGTTCAGCTCCCGGTGTCTTTGTAGACATGGGCACGCGGCACGCAATATGAAAGTCCTTTCACATTTTCTTCATGAAACTGCTATTTAGAGCCTGGAGAGCCGGCGCGAGTCTCTTATTTGAGGCAGGCCCTTGATGCTAAGGTCGTCTGGTTTCGTGCTGATATCTTCCGTCGTGTTGCCTGACTGCGGAATCTCCCATCGCTCTGATGCAGACGGCTCTGGGTCATCCAGGATACTCTCGATGATTGTCTTGAATTGTTCCGCCAGATCTGGATCAATGGCACATCCGTCATAGCTAACACCTAATCTGAGGCGGTCTTTATCTCCCACGACTCCCACCAGGAACTCCCCGTCCCGCGCCCGCACAGTGGTTTCCAGGTTCCGAAAGTCGGCTATCAACTCCCCTCGTGGAGGGGGTTTGCTCGTGTCGTATTTCCCTGACGAGATGATGGACCCACGATCCCCGACCGAACTCACCCCGCACGTTGACGGTGAACCCAGGCGGGCCGGGTAGGCACCTTGGATGTCCCAACCACGTCGCCTGCTCGGCTGGCTCTTCCTCTCGAGATACTCCATCGTGTTCAGGTATAGCAGGGGGATGAGTTGGGTGGGACTCCGGGAGCCAAGGTGGATTTCCTGCGCCAGGCTTCTCGGGCGCTTTTGGTACTGGCGAAGTTGGCGGTGCGCTTGTTTACCAAGCAGGCGTATCCGGCCCTCTAGATCGAGGCCGCTGGGGAGGAAAGGAAGGGTAATACCATCGCTAAAGGCCAGCATCAGACTGTCTTCTTTTCCTGTTGTAGGTTCGCCATTGAGGAACGGGCGGGGGTTGATTGGGAAGGAGCCGACAAACGGGAGACGTTCATGTGCTGACATGGATGGGTTGCGTTGCTCCTCAAGAAACATCATGACGATGGCAACGAGAGCAAAACAGCCGCTTCCAATACTGATTCTTGCGGCACGGCATATGCTAGAAAGTCGCTTGGTTGATGAGCTGCTAAGGAGTGCGCGCAGTGGATATGTGTTCAGTGGCGGTGTGCGCGAGTAGTCGATGACCTTTGAGAATATAGGTTTCAAGGGAGTGGCTGTGGTGCGTCGTGTCTCCCGTAGGAGTGGATTCTGAAATGAGGCAGGGGGAGGTCGGCGAGTATGTCGGAGGACGCGAGTCAGCAGCCAGGACCACTGTTGCCGGGCGTGAGATCCAGATACGGGAGGGTATAGACTTTCCTGTGCAGGTGGCAGCCGTTTGATAGGCGATGTAGCACACAGCTTCTGGGCGTCAGATAGAAGCTGCTCCTCTGACCGGTTTAAGAGGTCGATAAAATCGGACATCCAACGCATGGAAGTGAGGCCATCGACTATTTCATGCCCAGCAATGAACATGAAGTGGAGTTGAGAGAAGGCGTCCTGGTCGGCTTTCACTGGCAAGACATACAGTTTGCTCAAAGCTTTGAATTCATCAATACATCGGCTAGAGTTGAGGGTGTGGACGAAAAACTCGTAATCATCCACGTGGGGATAGTGATCCTCGACAAAAACCATGTGCTGAATTGCCTCGTTCCGCATTGATTCGACGCTTTGACTTGGCTCAAAGATGTAGAAACGCTCTGAAGGAGTATGCTGGTGCCCGGGCGGAAACACTTCGATCGGCGTGGCCACCCTGCTCGAGAGCAGGACATGCTTCTGCCGCATGATGCTCCAGACAAGGCAGATTCGCGATCTCAGCGATTCTAGAGTCAAGAAACTCCGCGCCTCGACGTGCAGATGGATGGTGAGATCCGCCCTGCCTTCGAAGTCTGTGCCATCGGTATTGAAGAGGCTTTCAACGATGCCAATGCGTCGATAGAATGCCGGTCGATTGCTCATGCGCACCCAGTCATAACGGTGGGTAGCATAGCCTTCGAGCCAGCCTGGTTGTGTCACCATCATGACTACTCACCAAAGCTCTTCCTCGTCGTTGAGTGGAGCAGCTCCCCAGATCTCAACAATGAAGCAGCCTAGGCTGAGTTACCTTCCCAGTGCGAGGCGGTTGTCGGCAAGGACAATTGCGCTGTGGGGATTTGATTCTTTGAGCCGGTGAGATTGCCAGCTCGGGTGCTGTACCCGGAGTTCTCTCTTAATCCCGAACTTGTTTTCAACTTCACTCTCTGTTGCTCTTGTTCAGGCACGGTGAGACCTTCAGCGAAGACTTGCCGCGTCCATTTCCCTCATAGGAAGACGTTCTGCACAATGCTGCGATGAAGGTCCAGACGTTGTGTTTCTCTTTGAGGAGTGTTTTCACAAGTTGTTGGTGGGAAACCAGGTGAGGTGGAAATGATATTGACAGAAAATCTCCTGAACACAGGAAGAGCACCGCGGTGAACGGAACTGCGGCAGGCTCGTCAACTGGCAGTCGCACCTTCCCGTTGAATATGCGATGAAATGAAATGATGTCATGCAGAAGAGAACCGCACCGGACGATGTGCCCGCCGACGAAGATACACGTCCATTGCCTGGTGCACGTTCTGTCATTGTATGCTGGCTCTGCTCTGCAGCATGCCTCATCAGAGCCAGAAGCACGAACAGAGGCGGAGCGTCGCTGTGGCCGAACCCCCAGACCGCGATCATGATGGTGCTGCCGCCACTCACTTGGGCTGGTCTCTCGACGACTACACTTCGTCCAAACCCACAAGCCGGCAGTTTCACATATCTACACACGAACGATTTATCCCCAGATTCTGCCACCTTCACTGCCATGTTCGCATGGAAGATCAACATGTATTGGCTGGTATCCTACGTGTGGTTTACCGTGTCTGTCGTCATCGCTCAAGTCAGTCGGACGTCACCCACGACGTACTCAACCCGGTGACGAGGATTCTCTGATCTACCTAGATACTGGCCGGGCATGTGTTGGTGTGGATCAGCACGCAAAGTGGACCGGACGCGCCTGCCCAGTTGGCGCGTACACAAAACATTTCCTTCGCTCCTTCCTCCTCGCGTTTCCTTTCTTCTTCTCTCCCATACACTGTATTCAGGTTTGATCACAATGTCAAGCAGCGACAGCTTTCTCTCAACCTCTGGCCCAGCACTAGGGAAGTGGTGCTGGGCTGGCGATTGCTACACTTCGTCTTCGTGTGACACGCTAAACATTCGAGCAGGTGATTTCCATCGGTCTCCCACCCGATCCACAAACTCGATCTTCGGCTTCGGCCCTTCTTCTCCTCGATTCTCTCCTCCTTCTCCCCGTTCTCGTCCCCTTCCCTCTGCCTACAACCCCGTCGTCAAGTATCCCGGTCGATAGCTTCGAGCCGCCGACTCTCCACGACGTCGTCGACAGTATCAGATCGAACCTGCGTCCCCGACCGAGTTCGTGCCCTTCCATTACCGTCGAGCCCCGAGTCCGGAGACGCCGTGCCGTGTGAGTCTCCTTGCTGTATCGCGGGTCGTTCAAACTAATCGAGAACCACAGAGGCGGCCTGCATCCCCACCGCCTCCGATCAGTTCACCACGGCTGGTGTTCTGCGCTGGCACCAAGCGTACTCCGTTACCTACCAGGTCCGTTCTCCTGCCAGCAAGGCTCAGTCGCCCTGGAGGGCTTACTTGTCGGGATATTCGCCGATTCCCTCCCATCTCGTTCTCGCCGCCTGCGATCAAGACAACCCAGCTGGAGCCCCGTCCAGTCGCCAAGCGCAGCCCATTGTCCACCGCGAGCAGCGTCCTCCCGCCAAAGAGGGTCAAGTACACTGGAGCGCTTTCTGTTCAAGATGTGCTCCGCCTCCCTCCGGTCTTGCTCTCACCGGACCAGATTTGCAATCGGCCCAAGGTACGTCTCTCACAACCTGATGTTCCAACACATACTGACGGTGCCGATATAGCTACCACCATTCCCTGGTGCGCCATCAGACCAGCAGAAGAAGCTTCCCCCTCGACTGCCAGCAGTTCCACCAAGCCCTTCTGTACACGGCGTGCGTCGTGTCCGTGTCACGAAGGGCTCACGCTTCCAGCATTCCACTGGAAGCCGTGCCAGCAGTTCGAGCGACAAGTTCCCATCGGCTTCTTCGGCCCTCTCTTCTGGTTCCTCTCCTGGCGACACAGTCAGTCGGTGTTGGTGCAGTCCCAGCCAACAGTCCTCCGTCGATACTCGGGATACTCCGAGTACTCCCCGGGAAGCCACTGCACCACATCCACTGGCCCAGCAGATTCTGGCCATACTTCAGGGTTCGGCCAACTTGTCGCCTCCTCCGCCATCACTGTCTCCAGCTTCGTTGTCTCCGGCGTCAGCCCGTGCAGACTTACCATGGTTCTGTAATGTGTCAGGCTGTCTCGCCCATCCAGCCGCCCGACAACCCCCCTCCTCTGGCGACTTGACTATTGATAGTCCCAGAGTCCGACAAGTTCACACTGGCAAGGAGGATGACGACGACAACGCTTCCCACACCGGCTCTTTTGAGTCCAGTTTTCCCCAGGCTCTGTTCCAGCAGTTCCTAGGTGCCATCAAGGCTTCGGGAGCCCGGAAGCCTCCTTCCGTGTCTCCAAGTGACCGAGAATCTCCTCCTGGCGACTTTGTTACCGATAGTCCCAGCCGATGGTCGCTTTCTGGCGATGACAACACTCCGGCAGAGTTTGATCCAGATACCGGTTTCGTTGAGGACAGCTTCGACTCCGTGTATACTCCTGGTGACCTCTCCGAATCGCCAGTCCCGGATTCGCCGACTGGGAGTGTCATCTGCTTCCGCACAGAGCCAACCCTCAGACATTATACGGCATTGGAGCCCGCGTCCTCCTCCGGCTTCTTTGCGCGTTGCGGACAGATCCTCGACACTGCAGTCACGAAGGTGGCTTCTTGGGTCCGATCGTGGTTCTAGGCGGTTCTTCGGTGGTTCTCTCTTCTTGGGTTCCACAAGACGGTTGCTGTCTGGGCATGGCATACGGTGGTGGTGGGTGTTTTCTCTGGTGGTGGGTGTTTTCTCTGGTGGTGGGTGTTTTCTCTGGTGGTGG